ATGTAATGTTCACTTATGTTTGGGGTCATGTTTTGAACAGTATCATGCAAGGGCAAACTACCGTCACTAACTATGGACTATATAAGTAATACTGAATTGTATGCACTCATTATTGATTACATTTTTCATGCAATAGGTTTGAAATTATTTAAGGATTAAAATAAACCATAGTGTTCCTATACCTATCTGTTAACCTTAAGAAGTTATGAATTTTTAAGTGGAAGTGTATCAAATCCGGAAACATTTTATCCCCACATTTCAGCCAGGAAAGGGTTAATATTGAGTTATAATCAGTGATCCACCGATACTGGAATCGGTACTTGTTTTTAAGCCGATACTTGTGGTATCGGTACTTACCTGGTAAAGATAATTGCATCACCAATGCATTAAAATTATTCATACCTATTAAATAATTATTCTTTATTAATTATATCTAATTGGGGCGAGCCTGAGCGAGCCCCACATAAATGACACAAGTACGTCGGTTTGTTTGTACATGTACATCACCTCTATTTATCCGTATGAAAAACTTTCCACTTTTTAATAAACTTGATAATCTTCATTGAGAAAGGGTGTGGTCACAATGAAGTAAAGTGGCTCAATATCAAAACTGGAAATTCTTGCAAGACGGATTAAACTGCATTGCTGTCAAAATGCAGCAGCAAGGAAGGTTAAGAAAGCAGACATGCCATGTTCTTCATTGATGTCAATAACTCTGATGAAGTGAATGTCAGTGACAGCCAGAGACAGCCTGCTGAACTAACTTGGAGAAGGCTAGAAACTGCTACAGTTGCCTATTTAGCCATATTATTTGTGCCATCAATGACTGCTTGTAGCCATCTTTAACGCTTGCTAAATGCTAAAAGCAAGGTAACTTTAACAGTTGCAGAGACCATAGTAGTACGTTATGAAGAAATACATAAATCAACTTCTGAGCCCGCCACTTTTGCACAGTCGTCATCATGCATGAGTATTGTTAGTCTAATAGGGTATCAAGATCTATTGTATGTACATTGCTTTGCTTGCGTAGGCTTGCCCCTTCAATGTTCTACATTCGACTAGTAAATTAAATTTCAATGAGCATGTGGTACAGTTAAAATTGAGGCTGATAAGAGAAAGTGTTGCGTGGCTGTTTTTTTAAATCGGTACGGCTGATGAGACAAAGGCAGTTTCTTAATACCTGTGGAGAGAAGCTTTCAAGTGGGGGAAAGAGTTCAAAGAACTTTACTACAAGCAATTTGAAGAAACATTTAAAATTGCGCCATACAGCCGAGTGTCAAGAAATGGAAATGAAAGAAAAGCAATAAGAAGCAGAAGCACAGAGTCAAGAAAGATCTCAAGGTAGCAAAGGACCATCAAATCAATTATTACTAAAAGTTGTTCTTGAAAGGCAACAAAAATGGCTTTTGATCAACCCAGAGCTAGACACATCACGAAGTTAGTTGGTGATATGATTGCTGTTAATAAACAACAATTCAGTGTTGTCAGTGATGTTGGTTTTACCTGCCTGAGGAACAACATCCAGCCAAGGTATTGTATTCCTATTACAACATACTTTTTAGAGACGATAGCTTTTTGAGATTGCAGACAGTAGTACAGGAGCTATAAGATGAACAGGAATTTGACAGTTGTACAATAGATATTTGATCATCCCCATCTCAAGACTCTCTACTAAGCCTTACAGCTCATTTTCTCACTCCTACTTTTGAAAAAAAGCAAGTGATACACTACAAGCAGTAAAGTTTAATGCATCTTATACAGGTAGCAACATAGCTAGCTTACTATCTTCTGTATTCAATTTTGGAAGAATGCAGAAAAGCTTACTCACTTGGTACGAGGCAATGCTGCTCACTATGTAGCTGGATTAAGGATGCTGGCATTCCCAATTTTGCATGCTTAGCACACAATTCAACTGCTATTTTGTGATGGAGTCATAGTCCAACAGTGTTCATGATCTATCCAATTCAAGGAAATTGGTAGGCCACTGTAAGCACTCAAATGTTGCATTACAAACCTTAATGAGAATACAGTCTCAGTTGAATAATCCACAACACTCACTCATCTAAGATGAAGCCACTCACTGGAATAGCTCATACTATATGCCAGTGACATTAATTGAGCAGAAAACAGCTCTTTTACCTGCTGGAGCAGAATCCACCTGTTCACATCAATTGTGTGTAGAGCAGTAAAATAAGGTAGTCCATCTTCTTGAACCTTTTGAAAAAGCCACAAGAGAGGCTAGTGGAGATTATTTTTCATCTTCAGTCACGATTCCTATAGTTAAATCACTTAAACGAGAAGGTGCGGTATGAAAGGCGGTGCCCTGGACATGGTGGTTTCCGTTTTTTTCATGTGTAAAAATGTCTGCTCTAGATGATGTTACTTCTTCAAGGAAAAACGCAGGCAGAGAGGGGTTTTGGTACCAAATTGAGTTACATTTTACTCTCAAAGAAGACAAGGACTAGTTCTAGTTAGGCTTGATCAAGTTAAGGGGTCTTTAGGCACTAAAAGAAGGCGCTGGAAATGCTGTCTCACTTACTTGCTGATTTAGTCGGGAAAGAGGATCATTTAGAGGTTCTATCACATGATACTAGTTATACTCAATACTTCAAGTAGTTATAATGTGTTTGAAATTAGTGTCAATATAAAATAAGGTATTGGTGACGGGGGAAGAAGAGCAGCCATTTTGTGCATAGATATAGGATCGGCTGTTGGGACGCACATGTTGGTGATAGTCTCGTATGGTTGACCGAAGGGTGATCAATTACAGTCAAGTACTATTTATTATAATTATTATTTTATTATAATAATTATCGAAATTATATTTATTTATATTATTACTATTATTATTATAGTATCAGTCATGTGATTTGTGCTGAATTTCAGTTCAATGATAGTTGAGTCCTGTAATCATAACTCAAGTTTATTATGTAGTAGATACAGAATTAAGTATAATGTGTAATGTAAAGTAATCATACATTAATTGGCATTAATATTTTTTAGGCTCGTACTAGCATATACTTGTGCTGGTATATTACCATCACAGTACTGCCATATTTTGATCGGCATTACTTGGTACAGTTGGGAAGATGTACACAATTACAGGAAGCTTCTCACCATCCCCATATCCATTCAACTCTGTTATTGTATATGCTTAATAATTTAGAATAATATAATTTTTGTATTTACTACTTCCAGTGGATCGTTGAATGTTGCAACTGCTACCAGTACTAGGATCTGATTGAGGACCAAGTGGGGGTCTTTTGCTGTAACCACTTCTACTTGATGAGGGTGGCTGATAATTGGTAGTCGGCAAGGCCTTCTGGTCCCAGTGGTGGCTGTTCCTGGGCTGGTTTTTTATGTAGTAATGAGGGCTATTCCTTTGCCACTATCACTTATAACCTGCCTTGCAGCAATATTGACCATGTTTGTTTAGCTGTTGACAGATTTTCAGAATATACAATAGAAATATTTGATAATAATGTAAAAAATTATTACTTCAAGTCAATTATACCATTTCTCTTCTTGCCATGCTTTCTACCTGTGCTTGTAGGTTAACTCTCTCGCCTTTACTAATTTTAATGTTTTTATTATGCATTTTGCTAGTGATTTAGCCATGATAAGAACAGTGCCAGTGTGGAAGCCATTTTGTTATTTTCAAAAGGGAACCTCCCACTTTCAGCCTACGTTTTGGACTCTTTTATGAAATTGTAGAAGAAAATAGAAGTGGAGAGGAAGCTGTTTTCAGTAACTCAATAGAAGCAGCAGTGAATGACTACTTATGTGAGCCTGTCATTTCAAGAGATTATGACCCTCTCAATACTGGAAGAAGTTACAAGTATGGCCTATTTTTGTGAAATTAGCTAGAAAATACTTGTCCATACAACCAGGGGCATATCTAGCAGGGACTGATGGTGGCTTGAGCACCCCCCACATGGCTGGGTTCAGAAAAAAATTACTCCAATCCAGGACTTTTGCATCACTACCAAGACTCTTAACAAAGTTATTTAGCCCCCTGATCATGATTTCAGCAGTTTCCACGTTTTAAGGAGCAATCAGAAGTCATCAGAAGTACCAGAATGCTTGAAATTATATTGACCCTACCCATAATTCACGAAAATAAAGGAAAACACAGTTTTTTTCCGCTGCAAAAAACGGCGCACAAAATTTTGGCGCGCTTTGCGCGCCCTCAACATCCTCTTTCCCCATTTCTAGATATGCCCCTGCCCACCTTCTTCAGTGCCACTTGAAAGATTATTTAGTACAGCTGGTCAAATAGTTACTGAAGCAGGCTTAATGCTGAGAAAATAAAATGTTACTTTTTTTGAATAAGAACTTGAAATATTTTAATTTTAAGTATGATTAATTATTAACAGTTGCTAATGGTTACATATAGTGAATGGGAAGTTTGGGAACAGCGTATTGGAATTGGAATCGGTAACTGAAAATTCTTAAAACAAAGCATTGGTATCTGTGGTATCACTACAAATTAGTATCAGTGCATCACTGGTTATAATAACCATTGTTGCATATTTTTGATTATGCAAATTTAACTGTCAAATTTTTTTTAGAATATAGCTGATCAGTGCATGCCAAAAAAAGAAAAGGTGCCTATGTGTGTATTAATCACAGCCCATGTGATCTGCATGTACTGGAAAGGTTAAAAGCATGTAAGAATTGCCATTTGTTATTGTGTAAATTAACTGAGTGTCATCATATCCCATATACTCTAGAGCTTAAGTATACTTGCATGCAGTCTTACTGTTGAACTTGCAATATACATGAAAGTGTACTAGTTTCTTGCCATTGTATGTGTATAGTATAGTACGATAACAGTGAAAATGAGACACATATTGAAATGAGATTGGGGGAGATGTGGAGTGCATCCAAAAATTATTGAATCTACGTGTACTTGTACACGTACAGTATACTACATGTATAATAACAGATGCATGTACAGTATTATATCAGGTTTGGGGTCACATACACTGCAATTGTAAATAATTGCACTTACATATTATATTCTTGAGTTATTGCAATCGCAATGGTGTTTATAACAAAAATAAGGTGTATTTGCAATTGTATTTAATTACCCTAAAAGTCATGATTTAATTTTAAAAATACTGTCATACATAGACTTCATAAATTACATGTACATTCACACTTAATTTAAAAAATACTGCCATACATAGACTTCAT